GTGCTTTGACTTCCCATGCATGACTACATTATTTGACAACTTGATAGTGGACGTGTTATCGCAGAACAGAATCATCTCTTCATCTTGTTCATGCCCGATTTCTTTCAATATCCTCCTCATCCAAATGGCTTGACAAGCACATGTAGCTGCTGCCACATACTCTGCTTCAGTAGTTGACAGAGTTACGATTGGTTGCTTCCTTGAGGACCATGCCACAACTCCTTCATTCATCAAGAAAACATAGCCTGAAGTGCTCTTACTGTCATTCACATCTCCCGCATAGTTACTGTCGGTGTAGCCTAAGAGTTCACTCTTCCCTTCACGTTGATACCATATCCCAAATTCTAGAGTTCCCTTCAAGTACCTCATGATTCTTTTTGCAGTAGCAAAGTGCAACTCAGTGGGATTTGCCATAAAACGACTAATAAGACTTACCACAAACATCAGGTCAGGTCGGGTGGCTGTGAGATACATTAGGCTGCCCACCATTTACTTATATAGCGTTGAGTCGACCTTCACACCAGTTTCATCCCAGCCAACCTTTTGTCCAGGAACTATCGGATTACAAACGGAGTTGTAATTTTGCATCCCAAACCTCTCGATCAACTCAGCAGCATATTTTCTTTGACATATAAAGATGCCATCAGCCTTCTGCATCATTTCAATGCCAAGAAAATATCTCATCTTCCCCAAATCAGTCATGTCGAATTCATCCTTCATGGAGCGTTTGAACTCATTCAGCAACTCCTCATCATTACTAGTGAACAATAGATCATCAACATAAATGCTCACAATTAAGATTTTACCTCCTTTTTGTTTGATGAATAATGTTTGTTCACTAGAGCTGCTTACAAACCCTTCCTTGACGAAATAAGCCTCAATGTGACTGAACCAAGCTCTAGGTGCTTGTTTTAGTCCATAAAGAGCCTTATGTAGCTTATAAACCATGTCCTTCTTCCCTGCTACTTCATAGCCTTGTGGTTGCTCTACAAATACATCTTCCTTTAACTCACCATGCAGAAAAGCAGATTTGACATCGAGCTGATAGATTCCCCATCCTCTTTGTGCTGCTACAGCAACGATCATCCTTATTGTGTCCATTCGAGCCACCGGTGCGAATACCTTTGTGTAATCTACTCCGTACTCTTGAGCATACCCTTTTACAACCAGCCTAGCTTTGAACTTATCTACCTCTCCCAATTCATTTAATTTGGTCTTGTAAATCCACTTAACCCCAATAGCCTTGGCTCCAATGGGAAGTGCAGTCAGCGACCACGTGTGGTTTCGTTCGATGGATTGTATCTCAGCATCCATCGCTTGTTTCCATTTCTGATGTCATGCTGCTTCTTGAAAACTGGTCGGATATGATATGACCATGAAAGCTAGGTTTTCAATCTCGACTCTAGCCATTTTTGCTTCTTCCTATGTATCTGATAGCCTCCTGTGACATAATCTGCAGACCAGATTGGTGGTTTTCTCACCCTTCCCGTCGTTGCTATCGTTTCTACAGTTGGTGAATCGTTTGGTGAAGGAACGACATCAATGTCTTCTTCTGCTTCTTCCGCCTCCTCTGCATTCTCAACATCTTCATAATCATTCTCCCACTCAAGTTCAATACTTTCTTCACCAGAATAACCAACATCTTCCCAATTCCACTTCTTATCTTCCTCAAATATCACATCTCGGCTGATGTGAACCTTTTTCTCCACTGGATCAAACATCTTAAAGGCCTTGGATTTACTGCTGAATCCTAATAGGACACAATTTACGCTTTTGTCATCGAGCTTGCTTCTTTTAACATCAGGGATATGAACATATCCGATACATCCAAAAACCCTAAAGTGTTCGACTGATGGCTTGCTTCCACTCCATGCCTCTTCCGGAGTCATATCTTTTACAATGAGTGTAGGAGATCTGTTAAGAACGTGATTCACCTATTGTACAACATCTGGCCAGAAATATTTTGGTACCTCTTTCTCTAATAACGTTGCTCTTACCATGTTCATGATTGTGCGGTTTTTGCATTCAGCAACGCCATTTTGTTGTGGCGTGAAGGCGGTGGTCAGCTGTCTTTTGATTCCATGCTCTCTACAAAATTCCTTGAACTCATTTGAGTTGTATTCTCCTCCTCTATCCGTTCTTAGACATTTTATGAACAATCCAGTTTGCTTCTCCACAAACGCTTTAAATGTCTTGAACTGATGAAATGCTTCTGATTTTTCTAGCACAAAATATATCCATGTCTTTCTCGAGAAATTGTCAATAAAGCTTATCAAGTACCTTATTTGATTGTTTGATGGTGGATTGATCGGACCGCAGAGATCAGAGTGGATAAGCTGCAATCTTTCAGTGGCTCTCCACTTGCTCTGTTTTGGAAATGGAACACGGTGGTGTTTCCCTTTGACACACGTCTCACAGGTGGTTTTCATATCTCCAATTTTAGGTAAACCCACAACCATCTCTTTATTGCATAATGTGTGAAGTCCCTTGTAGCTGAGATGCCCATATCGATGATGCCACAACTCTGCCTTGTCTGAGATATCAACATGCAGGCATCTCTTATCCTCTGTTTTGTCATTTGATTCACCCAGTAGGGTAAACATCCTATTAGCACTCATAACAAATTCTGCAATTTTTCCTCTCGATGGATGAAAAATATTGCATGTTTTTCGATATCCTCCTTTGAATAGCACGTCTAAACCCCTTTCTTGAAGTTGCCAAACACTCAGCAGGTTGTTCTTCAATTCCGGAATATAATACACATCGTTGACCAAATAACTTATTCCCTTAAGCATTATCTTCACCACTCCTTTCCCACCAACCATCAGTTTGTGATTGTTCCCAAGCTTGACATTATGTGTGAAGCTAGTGTCCAAGCTTGAGAACATGTCTCTTTCTCCACACATATGGTTTGAACATCCAGAGTCCACGAACCACACATCTCCTCTTCTAGTACCTTGAAGTTCCACATATGCCATGAGAAGAACTTCATCCTTTTCTTCAATCTCTGCAAAATGTGCTCCATTGTTCCCATTTGGACATTCATATTGGAAATGTCCAAGTTTGTGGCAGTTGTAACACTTGATTGTTGCTTTGTTGAATGAGCGTCCTCTTCCCCTGCCTCAACCTCTGTATGATCCTCTGCCTCTACCTCTGACATTGAGAGCTTGATCATCTTCTTCATGACTGATCTTCTTAAATTTCTTTTCATGTACGGACAGAGAACTCTGAAGTTCGTCAATCGTCATCTTTTCTATGTCTTTTGACTCCTCAATGGACACCACCACATATGTGAACTTGTTAGTCAAAGTCCGAAGTATTTTCTCAACAATCTTCGAATCTGACATGTCTTCTCTAATCTTGTTGCTTCTCATCTTGTTGGAGACAGACATTACTCTTCCAAAGTAATCATAGATGCTCTCTTCATTCTTCATTGCAAGAAGCTCAAAATCTCTTCTTAGGGTTTGAAGAAGGGACCGCTTCACCCTTCCGTTGCCTCCAAACTTTCTCTTCATCGAATCCCAAATGATCTTGGATGTTTTGCGATCCAAGATCTGTTCAAACACAACCCGGTCAATTGCCTGGAACAGGTAGTGCTTCAGTTGACAGTCCTTCATCTTGAGATCCTCCAGAGTCTTCTTCTGCGCTGCAGTCAATTCGGTTCCCTCCGCCGGTTCGGTGTAACCCTCTTTCACTAGACTCCACACACCCTTGGCACGCAAGAGGTTTTCCATCAGTTCACTCCAATGATCATAGTGACCATCAAACTGTGGAATCTTGGTGACTGTTTTGTCGTCGCTCATCTTCTCTTTCTTGGATCACTTTGCTTTGCTTTGGCTCTGATGCCAATTGTAAACTGCACCAGAATGATCAATTTATTCATAGGTTCCAATGCCTTTTATAAGGAATACATAAAAACTGTAAACAACTGCAAATCCTAAAATAAAGGACATGACTCAACTAGCTCCACTAATAGCAAGAAAATAGCAAAACAGAAATTGAGCTGCTCTAGCCTAAAGAATAGGTCTTTATTAGAAAAAACTAAAAACTTTACACAAGATATTGTTATATGGTTGTTCAAATAGGGGGGAGGATTTCTTTAACAATCTTGTAAGTCCTAAAGTTGATACTCCTCCATCTACAGGTGTCAGCAACTTTGTTGTTGCAGATAATGCAAATGGTTCAGAGAAAATCGAAGATGATGACGTGGAAGTGGAAGAGGGCAGTGATGACTTTGTTCAGCGTGCTTTAGTGGTTGGGGACTATAAGGGGGCAGTTTCTCAACGCATATCTGCTAATAAATGGGTTGATGCTTTAGTTATTGCTCATGTGGGAAAGTACACGGGATCAATACCTTAAGAAGAACCGATCACCATACTTAAAGGTAGTTGATATTTACATCTGAGAATCTATTTAAATTTCATACCCAACAAAAATTCTGTCAAATTTCCACCCACATCTTATAACTTATTTAAATTTCATCATATCCAACAAAAATCCTGTCAAATTCCCACCAGAGATTTATTTTTGTAAATCTCTTGTGTTCATTTCCATATTCAGGTTGTATCAGCGATGGTGACCAATGATCTATTGGTCTCTAAAATTCTGGAAAGAAACCCTTGCTCTTCTTTACGGTGTAAGTCTCATTGGTCTTTGTTGATGGTTTAATTGTCTTTTCGGTTAGTTTTTAAGCACCATCTTCATTCTTATATTGATTAAAAGGGATGCTTTATGTTCTGTTTTGGATTTTGATTGGATACAGTTCCAAAACTAGAATTTGTCCTAGTATAAGCTATGAACTCCTCAATAGGACATCAATTTTGATGATAGTATACTGTTATAATCTCGTCATCTCATATTAATAGTTTGCTCAGAGAGATGAATGGACTATGCTTTGCGACACACTTGCTTCAAAACTCATGGGGCTGGCAATACATTAGATGTAACTCTTTGTTATATATGTGCTAGAAATATTGATAAAACAGTTGAAATTTGCTCAGATGAGCACGAGGGGAAATCTTCAGGTAAGATTGACATTCTTATTTGTACTTTTAAATATGTATGTGTAATATAAAACTCACCCTTACCAATATTACATCTTGACAACTGACAATTATGTATTATTAGGATTTGATGGAAAAAACTATTGTTCTTGCCTTGGCAACTGGGAAGAAGCGGTTTAGTGCCTCTCTGTGCAAGCTTGTTGATAAATATGCTGAAATTTTAGCAAGTCAAGGGTTGCTGACCACAGCAATGGAGTATCTTAAACTTTTGGGTTCTGCTATGGCGGATTATACATGGAAGTTTTTGGGCTCGCCACAATGATATATATTGATATTGTGAGTTTTTCCGCCATAATATTCTATAACGGGGCCGCACAACTGCTGGTATTGTGGGATTTTGGCTCTCTGCCATGGGCAACACTGCTATTATCATACGTGTAACATTATACACCCAACCATATTTCCTTTCAGGCAAACAACAATCCACCATTCCAGCCTACCAATCCACCTTACCAGCCTATGCCTCCTGTTCCATCACAAATGAACTTGGGTCATGGCCACAATGTACCACCACAAGTTTTGGAACATACCTCGAATCCAATGGGGTTCATGCCAATCCCTAGTCCTGCTAGCGTTCAAAGACCTGGTGTGGGATTAATTCAGCCTCCCAGTCCCCCGCAACTTGATGTTTATTTTATGAGTCAGAAAGCATTTGTCTTAAACAATGATATGTATTTCACTTATCACGTGTTCCTTGTCTTATTCTATTTTGGTTTTAACTCTTGCTTTTACTATGTCAGCACACCAAATGCCTATTTTTACAACATTGACAAGACTTTTCAATGAGACATCAGAAGCACTCGGAGGTTCACGTGCAAACCCAGCAAAGAGGCGGGAAATAGAAGACAACTCAAAGAGACTTGGTGGGTTGTTTGCTAAGTTGAACAGTGGGGATATCACCAAAAATGCTTCTGATAAGCTCCTTCAGCTTTGTCAAGCGTTAGACAATGGTGATTTTGGTACTGCACTTCAAATTCTGGTAAGTCAATTGAATTGTAAATTCTAGCATCAACCTAGCTGCGTCGTACTCGTAACTATGGGTGTGTGATTTATCTCTATGACCGAATTGTATAATATGTGATTTATCATGGAAATATGTAGTCATGCGAGTCAGTATTGATTTATCATGGTAATATCTAGTCATGCGAGTATGTGATTTATTTCAATGATCAAGTTTTAGGTATATGATTTATCTCGATGATTGGAACATGTAGGTATGTAATTTATTCTCATGCTTCATTATGTGATTTATCACAACCATTTATCAACCCCTACTTTTTGTTCTTTCTTTTTTTCGTAGAAATCAGATATCTTCTGAGCACAACTAAAGAGAATAATTCTTCGAGTCAGATAGTACTTCAATGGTGGCAAAGCTCTTCCTAAAGAGAATTTTACATTGTTGTGTGCCCAGAGCTGGGTTTTAATTTCGAAGCAAAACAAAAATTACAATATGTTTGTAGTGGGTAATATGATGAAATATATAGTATAAGAAAATTTGACGTTGTGGAAAACTTATGTATGCATTTCCTTTAAAAATTGCCACTTCATCAAAATAGGGACTTTTTGAGTCTAAATAATAATTTTTACAACTGAACTTTTATTTCTAATGATCTAGTCACACACTTTATACCTATTTATAAACATTCGTTTATAGACATGTCTTGTGTTGATTTTTGCTTTTGATTGATCTATAACTACTAGCTTGAATTTTGATAGCAGTTTATCTTATTGGTGTAAACTGATATGATATGATTTTATTAGCTTCATTGGATTTGAGTTATGTAACTGAAACTTCAAATTGTAACAGAACATTACGTTAATATCACGTTGTGAAATCAAGTATACAATATAATTACTTAAAAGTATTTTTTGTACGTTAGAATAATTCAATGTCTTAACACATCATTACAATACCAAGGTAAAAGTAATTTTCTGCATTAACCTTTTTTTACTAACATTAGAATCTCCATATTCACAATATTTCAATTTTCTGCATTAACCATTTCAGGTAATATGCTGGCTTTCATGGTTGGTTCAAAGCAAGCTTTTGAGGTGCCTTTAGCAGATGTCTCTCAAACAAACCTTCAAGGGAAAAATGATGTGATATTGAGTTTCATGTGGATGACACAACTGGAGCCAATGAGGTATATAAATATATAGTCTTCTGAGTTTTAACAAATACAGTTCATAACAGCTGCTTACAAAAAACCTTTATCCATATTGAACTTGACTGTATTGTGGGATGGGGTTAACCGGTTCAATTTGGGTGTGCATTTTTTTATAGTCTAATATTATTCATATGATCTCAGAAAGATTCATTGATGGAGAGATAAGTTTCCATATACCGAATTCAAACACCCAGTTCGTTGGTGATGAAAATCGCCCCCCCGCTCAGGTGAGTTTGTTCACGAGGTTAACAAATTTCATGTTATAATAAATAAATTGGTTAAATGTGTCTTTAATACTGACTTCTCATGTCAACCTACTGTATGTATCTACAGTCTAATCAGCCGCATACCTTCGTCGTTATTAGTCTTGACCCCCCTATTCGGAAAGGACAAACTTTGTACCCTCATATTGTGATGCAGGTAATTTAATTGCTCATTGGTCTATGGTTTACCAATCTAGGTGATAAATATTTTGTGTTCTTCTGAAGCTAACATTGATTTGCTCGTTTATGTATAGTTTGAAACTGATGATGTGGTTCAAAGTGAATTGGCATTAAGTGAAGATCTCTATAACGCTAAGTATAAAAGACAAGTTGGAGCTGTCTTATAAGGTATAGCCTAAATTGGTGATTTGTTGATATACAATCCCGGGGTACTGATCCTCAAGACCTGCTGGGGAAAACATGAAACATTATATTTTTAGTTGATTGACTGATGTGAAAATTTGGTAACTACAGGTCACATGCGATACGATGCAATACTTGATACATTTCATTTATAATCCAATAATCAGGGGCTCATCCATGAAGTGTTCACCACAATATTACGTGGCTTGTCTGGGGCCAAAGTTACCAAGCCTGGAAAATTTAGGAGTTGTCAAGATGGTTATGCTGTTAAATCATCTTTGAAAGCTGAAGATGGAATTTTGTATCCCCTTGAGAAGAGCTTCTTCTTTCTACCTAAACCTCCCACTCTTATTACTCATGAAGAGGTGAGGTTGAGATCTGTTTATTGATGACCAGTTATTAAATACTGGTGGACCTGCATATGACATCACTAATTAGAGGTTTTCATTGTTTCATTGTTTCTGACTAGATTGACCATGTGGAATTTGAGCGACATGCTGCCGGTGGTTCAAATATGCATTATTTTGACCTTATCAGACTAAAATCTGAGCAAGAGCATCTCTTCCGTAATATTCAGAGAAATGAGTACCACAACTTGTATGGTTTTATCAGGTAAACTTACCTCGCTGCCAAAATTTACTCGACAACTGTTTGTTTGTCATATAGCAATTCATTTCTTACCTGATCATGCAGTTCAAAGGGCTTGAAAATTATGAATTTAGGAGATGCCCTACCAGCCGCAGGTGTGGCTAAGGCTTTTGAGAGCGATGATGATGATGCTGTTGATCCACATCTTGAGCGCATCAGAAATGAAGCTGGTGAAAATGAAAGTGACGAGGAGGTGCCTAACCTATATTTGATTCATTTTTTATCCTCATCTTTTGTTCATGAAAAGCATTTGTTAAATTTGTGTTCTATTTTAAGCACACAAGGACAATATTAATTTGTATCCAACATTGGAAAATATTTGTGCATAGAAAAAATATAAAAGATGTTGGAAGTATGCTTACTTCTTCGAGGCATTCTTGAGCTTGAGTTTTTGTTGTTATGCAGCCAGACTTTCTGTTGTTTATTATCTATCCTTTTCACTTTCTTGTGTTTTCTGTATTGCATATTATTATGGTTGTGCATTTTTTCTGGACTTGTGTGCACATGATTATCTCTTATGGTGGGGTTCCCTTACCCTGCACCATGTTTTTCTGTAATCTTGTTTGCTTTTGTATATACAAATCATTGGGAAATGTCTACAGGATGAAGATTTTGTTGCTGAAAAAGACGATGAAGGGTCTCCTACGGATGATTCTGGGGCAGATGATTCTGATGCTAGCCAAAGTGATGATGAGAAAGAGGCAAGTGATTTGTTTTATTTGCCTTTATCTTGTGATGCCTCACTTCTACTCTTTAAATCTTTTGTATTCCTGACAACTTAATAATGATCTATTTTCAGAAGCCTCCCAAAAAGGAGCCTAAGAAGGATATGCCTTCTAGCTCTAAAGCATCTACTTCTAAGAGGAAATCAAGAGATGCCGATGAAGATGGAAAGAAGAGAAAACCAAAGAAGAAAAAAGATCCAAATGCACCCAAGAGGGCGTTGTCTGGGTTCATGTTCTATTCCAGTGATACTGAAGGTTCTGGAGTTTGAACTTTTCCATTTCTTTCTAATCTAAGTAAGAGTTCACCATCAACATATACAATATTATTTTTTGGATTTTTTTTCTGCCTTTGATTTTGTTAAACTGACTGATGTAATGTTTCATTTGACAGGAAATTGCGTGCGGTATATCATTTGCAGCTGTAGGCCTAATGGATATGTTTAACACTGGAGGAGCTGAGGTCGAAATTCATAGAGACTGACCACAAACAAGAACTATTTGACAGAGAGGCTGTATCATCAGAACTGATAACTTCTCTAGATCCTAACCGGACGACCATAGCGACTATTAGTTTGAAAGTTAGAGGAAGTGGAAAGTTTAGAGTTTACTCCTCGCAGCGTCCAATAAAGTGCATGGTGGATGGGACTTCAACTGACTTTCACTATGACTCAGAAACTGGATTAACAACCTTCTTCATCCCAGTAGTTTTTCAAATGCTGCAATTTATGTCCATATTTTGCGTCATTTTAGATTTATTAGTGCCTAGAGTATATGCATTTAGGCGAGCCTCTTGTCCACTTGTTGTAAAGTAACTTTTGGATGGACCTGGTGCTGTCAAGTTAGATGTCTTGTAAAAAAATATAGATCATGTTAATTTGTACACAAAGTTACATAATTTATTTCTATTTTATTTTTTATTTTGTCTTTTTATACGGTCCCTTGTATATTGTATAATATCTTACTTTATTTTCTTATTTTGTTTTTACCTGTTTGAAGAATCGAAATAGATCATATTTGTTAGTTTAAAAAGTATTTAATTTGTATTTTAAGATACAACTTCTTTTTATGTTTTCCAAAACAATTCTCTTAGAACATGTGTTGAGTACTTAAGTTGATTAGCAACCTTTGTGAAAATATTTGTGAAGTTAACAATTGGTTTACTATTTTTATTATAATGTATACTATGTATGCATTGACAAATCTGAGAGATGTTTTTTCTGCGTGCTTTGAGACTTGCCCCTTTTCTTTCAACAACAAAAGAAATTAAAAAGAATTTTGGAGGAAATATTTTGACCATTATAGTTACCTAATCAAAACACATAACAAAATCTATAAACGAATTACAGTTACCTCATCAAACACAATGCGACTAACCATTAAGAAAAACAGTATCATATACTCATCAAACACAATGCGGCTAACCATTAAGAAAAACAATATCATATAAAGAGACAACCAACAACACAATATATAATGGACACACCATGTTCATAACATTCGACAAATTGAAATCTCAGACTTAGACAAATGAAAAAAGAAAAACTCTAATCATAAGATGTTGAATGTTAACCGGAACAGAAATTGAGTGAATAGTCGAATATACAAGTTACAACTACACACTGATCATCATTTAGGATCAATCACAGCGCCAAATCTTTCTGATTCAAATTATCTTTTTGTTGGAAGTATAATAAGCTGGAAGCTGATCATTGAATGCTTTAATTTCTGAGCGGACCTGTCTTAAGAAGTTTATTTGGTTAGCAACTATAGCATCGTGATCATAATCTATTGGATCAATTAAATGACAGCAATCCGGAGAATCTGGAACTGGCGGGCAAGACTCAATTGGAGGAGCCTGAACTGGCGGACAAGACTCAATTGGAGGAACTTGAACTGGCGTGTCAACATACTCAAATGAGGGAAGTTCTATTGCATCAGTTAACTGACCCCAATCCGGAAAATCTGGAACTGGCGGACAAAACTCAATTGGAGGAGCCTGAACTGGCGTGTCAACATACTCAAATGAGGGAAGTGGCGGCACATCCATGTCGCTCCAGGTAGGTTGTTGAGTTTGTGAATTTTGGAATGAAGGAGGCTCAAAATTCATGGATCCATATATGGGTTCAGAAGAAGAGATATTTGACGCGGCATTAAAACCAGTTATAGGGTTATCATATCCATGAAGAAGGTTGGTGTTGAGAATCGGATCACATGGAGTAGACAACATAGGGTATTGTCCATACTGATCAAATACTTCCGGGACAGCAGCACTCCTGCTACTGAAAAAATATCTTTGTTGAACTACTGCACTAGGCATGTATAAGGTATTATGAGACGAATCTGAGCACTGTTTAACCAAGTCGCTAATTGGTTTGTAATCTTGAGAATCAAAAAGTGGTGGCATCATATCTGGGCGGAATTTGTAATATTTAAGGTCCAAGTCAGATATATCAAAGTTGAAGGTTTCTGTTTCATCATGCTGGTTGGATTCATTTGGCAATGTGTCAGCACTTTCTTGTCTGTCATTTAACGAATATTTGGATGTTATCTCGTCAGGATAGATTGGTAAGCCATCTCGTTTCCGTTTCTTAAATCTTGTGTACCAAAAGTTCTTTATCTCGTTATCTGTACGTCTAGGCAACTGAAAAGAAAAAGAAAGAGGACTAAGTAAGGCAAATATACTCGACAGAACATGTAAATAACAAGCTCGGTAACAGAACACATTTAAGTAATTAATACTGTCCAGGAACAATAACTTGATGATCAAAAGTAAGATTTATTCAAATCATCGTTTGAAGATGCATCCATTTTGAGAAAAATGGTATTATATTCCACAAAAAACCAATGTAGGATATCATGTACACATAAGGCTGGAAATGAGTCGAGTTGAACTCAGCTCGCCTCGACTCATTAAGAATTATTCGAGTTCGAGTTAGATTTTGACACAAACTTTTTTTTAAGCTCAAACTCGACTCGTTATAAGTTCACGAACAGTTCGGTTCAACTCGTTAGGCTCATCTCATTAGGTTCGGCTCACATGATTCACGGACTTAAAAACTATATATATATATATATATATATATATATATATATATATATATATATATATATATATATATATATATATATATATATATATATATATATATATATATATATATATATATATATATATATATATATATATATATATATATATATATATATTAGTATATTTGACATTTAAATAAATATATATTTTTTTAAATAAAATATTAAAATAAAATCAAAGTTATCATATTAAAATTTAACTTTATCTTTGAAATCTACTAATTCAAAACCTACACAACTTTCAAGAGATACATTTGAGAGTCTAATTCAAAAACTAAATTAAAGATTAAATTTGTCTAAGATTTGGAGTAAATATTTAAACCTGATCTTAAAGACATTATAATTCTTCTCATATGTAATCGAGTTGACTCATGAACCTAACGAGTCGAACTATGTATAGTTCAAGTTTAGCTCATTTAGTTAACGAACTTAATTTTTCGCTCATACTCAACTCATTTGGTTCATGAACCTAGTTCAACGATTTAATTGTCGAATCGAATTCCGAACTATTTTCGAGTTGGTTTGGTTCATTGTCAGCCCTATCTACACATTAACATTAACATAATATACATAAACAAAGTTAAGTTATTAGATATACCAATGTAGTCATATAAGCCCACTTGTTTCCCTTCAGAAAGTGGCACTCAATGATTATGCGTTCTTCTTCGGCAGTAAACGGACCTTTTTTCACTTCTGGCCTCAAGTGATTTAACCATCGGAGACGACAGCTTTTCCCACAGCGAGCAAGTCCTGATTCCTTTTGGACTGCTTTCCAGTTTCCCTCTCCATGCTTTTTAATATGATCTTTCAAAATTTCATCCTCTTCCTTTGTCCATGGACCTTTCTTTAGAGCAACTTCTCTTCTTTGATCAGCTTCTTCCTCCGATAATATTGACCGGCTAAGCTTTGACCTTTTACCAACATCATTGTCACTTGATAATGATGACACTTTACGTTTTCGCGTCGAAGTGCTACCTTTCTTAAGAGTAACTTCTCCTCCACCTGCATTAACTGTTTGATCAGCTTTGATACCTTCCTTTAGAGCAACTTCTCCTCCACCCGAGTTAACTATTTGATCAGTTTCTTCCTCCGGTAATACTGACTGGCTACACTGTGGACTTTTGCCACCATCACCCAGTTGTTGCTTTGAAGTGCCACTCATGACTCAATATATCTAAAAAGTCACAAAGTTTAAAAATTTTAGCACATAATTAAACATACATATCCTTGATTTCTCGATTGTAAAACAAAAAAAACTCTTTTCTTTTCTAAAACATTCCACAATAGCTCTCTTTTTTCATATGCGTTTTCCGAATCAATCATTTACAAGCTTAAATAATAAAATAATTGAATTTGTATATTTATTATGTAACTACAAAAGTTTTGAATAAAACCCTAGCATTATTAATCTTAAAACTATGAAAGAGAATTTCCGAACAAGGAATAAAATCAAATAGAAAGAAACAATCAACAGAGTGGAACATAGTGGAACATGAACATGGTTTATGAAATAATTAACTCTAAATATCTATGAAACCATTACATGTCGGATTTTGTCGGTTTTTGATACATATTAAATATCAGGTTTTGCTGAAAATTTTACAGAAAAAATCATAACATTAATTTTAATAGAAACAAAAACATAAAAATTAAAACTTTTTACATAATTAATAATAATCATAAACTCATAACAAAAGCAAATGTTTAACTTACAAGAACCAAGTAAATATACAAATTCAAAAATAGATGAAGGAAAAAATATAAATACACTATTTGAATAATAGATCTAAAAGAATAGATCTATCATTTGATTTCCAGAATCAGTTTACAACCACAACTGCATGTGTAAAGTTTTTCTTGTATTTCACCCATAAAAAGTATTGGATCCATTAGCATATTGTGATAAGAAATAACAGTGATTGATAAAAAAAAATCAAATGAGTGACTGGAATATGAATATATAGTGAGGAAAAAAATGAGTGATAAAGGTGAAGATGATAAATGAGTGAAAATGGTTACTGGTGGTGAAAGTGAAAGGGTTTGTTGATGGATGAGTGAACTGAATGATATAAAGAGTAGACAATTATTGTGGGTCGGTTTGATTAAAACCTGTGTATAAAGTGGGCTACTAAAAAAATCAATTAAAATACATTAACTTCGGGTGGGTTTGGGTTTAGACGGTCCAATTCTTATCATCCAAACAGACCCAAACAAATCCAAGTGAAACCGATTGGATAACCCGCATAACCCGTTGACCCGATTAAAACCACCCGATTACTTTTATGTAAAACGGTTTTTACGGTTTCCGGTCGGGTGAGACCCGTTTGTCCACCCCTAGTTTTAAACGTAAGTCGGGTAAAACCCTAAAAACGTTAACACATAAAATAAATAAAAACTCAAACGAAAGTAAAAAAAAAAAATTGAAGAAATAGAGAGAACATACCCGGAGGCCGGAAAGGTTTGAAAAAGAGATAACTGTGAAGGAATGTTGAGAGGGTGTGAAATGAATGAATGAGGTAAGACAGAGAGAAAATAAAGGCTTAAATAAATAAAAGGTTATGGGACGGAAGCTACGCCAAAATCCTAAATTATCCGGTCTTTTTGGGCCTTTTAGCCCATATGAATTCTTAATCAAATATTGAATTTAATTTGAAGGAGTCAACAAAATAACTTTTTTTTTCCTTTCAATTTCTCACAACATCTCCACAAATTTTATAATCAAAGTAAAGTTAATTTTTTTAATATTATTAAAGATTTTAAAATATTAATTAGATTTAAAGTTATTTTTAATAAAGTTTCATAAAAAAATATTTTTGAGATATATCATTTTTTTTAAAGTTATTTATTAAAATCATATTTGCTAATGATTGTTTAGAAAAATCATTTTTTACAAAATAAATAAAAAGATTAATCTCTTTTACATTTAATCAGAACAATCACACTTCATAACATCAAGATGGTATGAACTTAAAATTAAAAGGAAAAAAATAAAAAAACATAATCACATAAAACCTTACCTTCATCGATGTGAAGACTCCAGACAAATTTTTCCATCTCTGTAAAGACCACCTTATTTTCTCTTGACTCTCCAACTGTAGAATTTGGATCATATTTTTGAAGTATTTTCTTTTCTGCAGAGGGATCATCATTGAACCTGAAATTGATAGCCATGCTTGATCAGATTAAAGATTTGATTCTACAACATTTCAGTTTCTATATACATTGTTTCAGTCATAACGGACGATAGTAATGATCATCTTACTTATCGTCGTATATGCCAGTTTTCTTTTTTGCAGCTTTATAAGCATCATCTCGGCGTTTTTGTTCCCCAATTTCCACATTCTCAAGCATATCAACGTCTGGAGTGTGAGAAAACAAATTATTTTACACAATGATGCACAGCAACTCATAGAATTCAAACAAGAACAATATAAGAACACCGAGAAGTTGTACCTTCATTAAGATCACCTTCAGCAAGTATGGGCTGATCTCTGATTGTCAGAACTACAGTACCACCTTCTGCTACTTTGTCAAGGCCGTGAAGAACTTTCACCCTGATCTGTATGATATTCAGCATACAAGTATGGGCTTTTGATTAAGAACTAATGAAACTCTAATTAACTTCAAGGAGTGGATTAAGAGATTCTTCTTTTAAATTCAAATTCTAATTTGAGGCCCAATTTAGCGTGAGGAGGCCCAGTTTTGAGGAGGCCCAGTTTTTTACAGTCTCTCTGCCCTTGTATCGGAGACAACACGTTTGTGTCGCAGCAATCAACTCAACTCGCCGTTGAAAGCAAAACCCAGCCGGAGTTCGTCATCGGCCGCCGAAAACAGTGAGCTACTCCACCTTTTCCTTTTTTTAATTATATTTCTGTTTAGAATTTTCCTATCCCTCTATTCGTGCGCGCGGCAGGATGCATTTCACCGTGATTTACGGCGCCGCCACTGCGAAAGGAAACTCACCGGAACTCCACTTCGCACCGCTATTCTACACTTAAGCGCCCTGATTTACTAAACACATATTTTCACAATACTGGTTCGAAATGTCACGGAACAGAACAAAGTAGATGAAATGAAATGCATCTATATTCATTTTGAAATTTAGTACTAGAAGTTTTTACTTTATTATTAATTTGTTATTGTTGTTCTACAGAACAAGATTAGAATCAAACAGGTGTATGATGGCTGGCTACATTATCAGAAGAGCATTCTCATGCCGTAATTTGTTTCGCATACCAACATCTGCTCTACATGTTTGTGAAAATTCCCCTGTTAAACTTTGTATATCTGATGCTAGCACTAGAGTCTTTACTCTTCCAACTGTGCCCAGTTTTATCAGTGAAAGTCGCAGATCCTTTGCCAAAGGCCGAAAGTCGAGTAAGTCAGTCTGTGTGTGCATAACATATTAGAATTCGAATTCCTGCCTTAAAATCACACACATAGCTACACACATGAATTGATCTCAGCCCCATCAGTTTGAGATAAGTTGGTTCAAGATCAATAGTTGTGTTACATAGTTAGTGTGTAGAATCCAAATAATGTAAAGTTGGTTTTTTTAATGATTACTTGCTTATACAATTTTAGGGGATGAAGGGGGTGTTAGTACAGTTGAGGTTCCATCAAACAACGGCCCTACTATTAAGGCTTCTGCTGCCTCACAGATGGAGTCTGCAATGGCCGCATTATCCGTTGAACTAAGCAAACTACGAACAGGAAGAGCATCGGCTGGTATATTGACATGTTTCATTAATCTTATGTGTCTTTGAATGCATAATACTCAACACATAAATGTTGAACATGTATGTATGTATGTATCTACAGGAATGCTTGATCACATTATTGTAGAAACTGGTGGTGTCAAGATGCCTTTGAATCGGATTGCTCTTGTTTCAGTACTAGATCAAAAAACCTTATCTGTTAATCCTTATGATCCAGAGGTACTTTATCTTACAAGTTCAAATATGCTTGCTATTTGCAACGTTATAAGTAAACCAGCATTACTTTTGCTTATCACATGACATAACTAACTTTACCAGACACTTAAACAATTAGAGAACGCCATTGTTTCATCTCCGTTGGGATTAAATCCTAAAACAGATGGTGAAAGATTGATTGCTGTCATTCCACCGTAAGCTCTTATTCTATTTTTATTCAGTTACTCGTCATGCCTGTAAGAGTGAATTGACTAATTTATTTCTCCAACCTTAAATGACCAGATTGACCAAAGAGCACGTGCAGGTATTGTTAACTACACTCCATTTATATTTGTATATGGTTTATACCCAACACTCTTCTCTTTGTTTGATAGACTCAGCCTGCCTCTATACCCTTTTGCTTGATATATTTTTAGGCTATGAATAAGTTGGTGACTAAATCTTGTGAGGATACTCGACAAAGCATTAGGAGAGCTCGACAAAAGGTGTGGCATGTCTTTGCTATTTCTTGACTTCTTTTTTTCTGGTGGACTAGCTGCCTTTAGAAATTTAAGCAACTGATTAAGGAAAGGGTAGTTGCTGAAAGATTTGAGAGTTCTCCCTTGCTCTGAATCTCTAGACATTTTAAGTGATTTTCATTTTGTTTAGTCGTTGACATAAACTGCTTTTAAATGCATAAAAGTTATCAGCATTTTGATGCATTATCAAATACACCTTGCCCTTTGGTGCTTAATTGTCTGACCATTCATCCCGCAAGCACAACCCGTTTATCCTGAAGTATGTACATTCATATTTTCTATTTGAGTAGATAAAATATTTCAAAAATGAAAAAAAAAATGCAATAATAGAATAGTTCTCTTGACAGTTTTTTTTCTCTTCATAGTTTAGCTTAATTATCTGCATACAATGACTAAAGGTGTTGATTTTACAGGCAATGGATGTCATTAAGAAACTGAACTCCAGTCTTCCCAAGGATGACATAAAAAGATTGGAGAAAGAAGTAAGACATATATGCATAATGCAACAATTACGCTGACAAGATTCCATAGCTCTATAGATTTGATTTCTGGTATTTTTTCTACTTTCAGGTTGATGACTTGACAAAAAAATATATCAAGACTGCGGAAGATATATGCAAGGCAAAGGAGAAGGAAATTAGTCAAGGTTGAGATGTGGTGTTATTCTAGATTTTGCTGAGGCTTCATAGCTTCATCGCGTTTAATCTGCTAGGGCCTGAAATTTTATCTGGTCTAAGCTATAAGCTGAGTAGAGTATCATACAATAGTCATTATATTATGTACTGTACTATTTTGTTATTCTAGCAATATAGATAGAAAAAAGATAAATCTCATCTTCAACCCTTGGGTTTGGAGTTGTGGCGTTGGTGCTGACTATTACTATGTAGTGTTTGATCTCAAACATCTGGTGTTCATGGTTGCTACTCTTGGTCAAAAAATTTGAATTTCAAGTTATCTCATTTACTTAATAAAAATGTGTTATTTCAATTGTGTAAAATTTACTTCGTTGATTTTTATAATTGAAATATGAATCTACCAACAAATAAAATATTTATTGTGAGATTTTTTAATATATAAATGAAGATCCACGTTTATGCAGATGTGGACTGATTAAAAAATAAAACACAGCAGATTTTGAATAGTAAGTTCAAAATGATATTTGAAGCATTTAATGTACACGTACACTAGTTTAAAAATGAACGTGAATTTGTTTGAAGTTCATATAATTTAAATGAATTTAAATGTCAGTTTTTGGCTTTGAAATGGACTAAAAGTTGTTGTAGTGTGGAGAGGTAAATTATTTGAATGTAAAATATTTCTAAAAATAAAATAATTTGAAATTTAAAGAAAAAAACAAGTTAAATTTGACTGAAATTTTTAAGTGTAGAAAGTAAATTGTATAAATGTAAATTGACAAAAAGTAGTGTGTAAGAAATATCAATTGCAAGAAATTTAAATGTGCAAAAAGAGTAAATAAGAGCATGTAAATTGGATGAAGAGTAAAATACATCAAAATAATTATGTGAAAAATAAATTTGACAAAAAAGATAATGACAAACTTAATCAATAGAGATAATTGAGCATCATTTTAAAGTTAGATGAAATTTCTACAACTAAGAGCATCCATATTTATAATGGAATCTCACATATTTTGTTTATATTAAATTATATATATTTTTTATTTAAACAACTTATTTAATTTTTTTTAATATTAATACAATTTATTTAAAATTTTAAAATGGATCTCGTCCATTAACCATACAATATATCTCATATTAATTTTTATATAATATATCTCATATTTATAAAAACATTGACTTTAATATTAATTGTTATTCTAATAAATTTATAACTAAAAGCATAATTTTAGTATAATTATCCGTGAATTCAAGCCGTATTTATACAAATTTTTATGTTGTCAAAATCTAATGGATATTTAGAAGAAAATTGATAGTTTGATAATTATAAATAAATTGTTTACATAATTTAAAAATGTAATATAATATAAAAAAATTATGTGAGAATCGTTTAAAAAATCCAAGAGAGTATAATTAACGTGGATTTTTATATTATCCAACAGAGAAACGCTTCTAAGTCTAGCAACAGTATTTAAACGTGGATCATCCCACAATCTAACAAAATAACATTGATTTATGTGTGCACATATTCAAAATGTTGGTGATATGTATGCTTTAAGAAACATTTTTTTACAAGGCCTTTGAGGTCAATTTATAAACAAAAGAAACTTTAACTACTAGTGGTTACATGTTTGCCACATAATTTGATGCGGCACGACCTTTTTTTATAACAAACTTCAAATGTTCTTGACGATTTTTTTATAATAAATTTCAATACAATGTTTTCTGAGATTTGTTCGATCGAGGGAGTAATATAGTATACTTGAACTAAATCTTCTATTGAACTGTGATAATTTTGAAATACATTAGACCATGGCAACCATGGCATATATCAGCAGTATCGTTAACCCAAAACCATTCTTCAAAAGCACATAAGTTTACATTAGGAATACACAAGTTCTTTCAGCAGACCAAATGTAAGCAAATGGTGGATGAGCTTACACAACAAAATGTGCTATGTGAGCGTTGAATAATAAAATAGATTGGACTGTCGGGATGAAGGTTCTTCGAAAACTTCAGGATCAACCCTGCCCTAAATTCACTAAGCCACACTCTGAGATTTGAGACTCAAACCCAGGTCACCAGTTTTATCAAAAAACAAGCTTACCAATAAATCAAAAATCTATATAGATATCTGCATAATAAGTTATGTATGTTTAAATGATAGACCTCATATCGTAGTTTGCCTTCGGCCATAAAATATGTTGAGCCTTCCCTGTTTCAAAACAGACACTAAATATTAGTGGTCATCCACTATCATGTCTTCTATTCAATTTTCAGGTTAACTTTTCATGTAAGTCACACAAAATTTAACACTTGATATTTCAAAATGAAACAAACAAGTTACTCGAGATTGTAATTTGTAACTTACATGATTGAGAGCTTCGAATCATTTTCTCCAGAACGATCCAAAATCATCAAGTGGAAATACCTTGAGATAAAACATGAAAAGATTAGGGAGAAATGCTGAAAGAAAATGAAGGGAAAAAGGAAGTGGGCACTTGTATATGTGTGTGTGGCTTCGGAGCATATACACAAACTTACCTTCCAGAATATCTTACTCTCAATAAGGCCATAAGGAATTGGACCAAAATGTCTAGAATCGGTGCTATTATATTTGTTATCCCCCTGTACCCAAACGTGACCCTTTGGAACCTACAGAAAACCCCAAAATCAAAATCAGAAAAAGCAACTAAAATCGGATTTGTTTTTTTATAACAAAACTACCATACCACAACTGTCTCGTGTTTATCGTTATCGCTGTTTTCGGGATTAGAGACGTATGTAATGGTATCACCCTCTAATCCAACCACACGCTTTGTGACAGTTCTTCTAGGGTTTTGAGGTGAGCGGAAGACAACAATATCTCTATGAGTAACTTTACCAGATCGAGGTGTTATCCTTTCAGCAAGAAAGATGCTTGGATTCAAATCGATTACAGGAAGCATGCTAGGACCATAGATCTGCAGCATTGGAACTGTCAAGTTATTAATCATGAAAAAAGAATTTGCAACAAGTTGAATTAGGAACCATGCTTACCTTAACAGGGTCAACCAGATAGTTGTCGGTAACATGTAAAAAGCATAAGAACTTTGTAAATAAGAATGTTTTCTCCCATGCTTCTTTAACAACAATCCTAAATAGCCCCATGTTTCTCAATACCGTTATTGCCTAAAAAGCCAAAAGTCAAAAACACAAGTATTTCGTTCGCTGGTAGCAACTAAAAAGCCAAAAACATGCCAAATATAAGTGTTGGGATCAAGATTTTCGAAAAACAGTCTGTTATCGCAAAAACGGATGCGACAAAACGGTACTGGAAGGTGCCGATACCGATACTGTTATTCAGTGTTTTTGTGATAAAGAACAAATTGTAGTTAACTTATGCTGCAACGACCGCAATCAATGTTGCAATACTTGTACTGATTGAAATCGCAAAAGCCTTTACATTACTGCCACAATAACATGTTAACCCATGACAAATTTAAACAACAGCAAAATGCAAATAGGGTGGAATCCTCAAACACCATTAGGATTGAAACATGTGTTCTATTTTTACCTAAACCACACCTTGTTTCATACATCTCATAACTTAGCGAGGCATAGCTCCAATTTCTTCATCATTCTCATAAAAATGTCATTCAACAATGAATTTTTTGCAATCAAAGGTCAAACAAGACATTAGAGAATAATACATTTAACATCCAAAATCATATTTTCCATAAACTACACACAAGCTCGTGGCACAAATCGAAATGCAAGGTTCTATCTAAAGACAACACATATAGAAGCACGCAACCAGTCCATCAACAACACTTTTCTGAGTTGAGAACCGTGGAGTTACAAACTAATCAATGAAATTCATCTCCGTTCCCAATTATAAATTCAGAAAAAATTAGATACGATTCTGATGAGGGATAGCATATATAACTGAGAGAATCATGTCCGCGGATTAACAAAGGAACATACCCGTGGTCGATTTAGGCGGAAAATGACGAAGGCTGACGTTACTTTTGAATTGTCTTAAAAATAAAATACTTACTAAATTGAATATAAAAGTGGCTTTGATTTAAAAAAAAAATAATAAATAAATGATTATTGAAATTTTCTTTATGAAATATGCTGGAAACTGTTTCATGCGTAATAACAATACGAAATGAGTACCGGATGCTATGATGAAAACGAGGCGAAACCAATGTACTCAAAATTTGTGACATATAAACTTTAACATGATCGAAAACACCAATTTTTACAATCTATTTCCAAGAATTTTTATGCACATAAAAAAATGAGATTATTTTATTTAAAATTGCTATTTATGACCCTATTTTAAAAACTGAAACTATCATACTCTTTAATTAAATAATAGCAGGACATCATACCACAAAAAAAGTCAGCAACAAGAGAAAACTGAGTGATAATTCCAACAGTACCTTGGAACTTGGGTCATAGAAAACTCTGCTTGCCCCATGGACGAAACCATGAACTGCTTTTACCCTAACCGCACGCGTAGAAGACGAGGGAGAACCACGGCATCCCTTAACTCTCAAAACAGATATGAAAAAAAAACAGAGCCACCGCTTCAAATTATAACGTAATTAAAACCATTATATTTCTGCTACACTATGAACATAGAAACCATTTGGGAAATATACATCAGAATTGAGACAAAAATATGCTCCGGGAATTTGAACGCCATAAGCGTAACATTAATAGCCAAGGGCTGAATCTAATCAGCAAAACTCTCAAGAACCAGAATCGGCCATCCGCAAAACTCGATCATCAAAACAAATGAATTGAAACTTTAAGCTTTAATATGACCAACACAGGAGTGAAAAAAAATCAGCACGGAAAACATATTATCGGCACAAACATGAATCAAATTAAAATAACTCGTGGATAATACACAACAGAATCAATCAATCCAGCCAGATAACTACTAAATCTCAAAAAAAAAACACAACAATATGTTTAGAAAAAAAATTGACACCTGAACATTAAATACCAAAGTCAAAACATGAAATATTACCAAAAAGTTGATTTAGGGATGATGAGAGTGTATGATGGTGGTGGTATGTGAGTTGAATATGGCGGAATGGAAGGGTTATGCGTGTGGGTGGTGCCGGCAAAAGGTATTTTGGGGATTGAGTTTTGAGCGGCGGCGGGTTGGATAACGATGGATTGAGGAAGGTGGCGGAAATGGATGGAGAAGAAGGTTGGAGGTTTGTGGGCGGCGGAAGCAAAACAATGAGTTGGAGGGTTTCAATGGCAGATTTGTGAGTGAAGGGAGAAGAAGATTTAGGGATTTCTCAATACCGTTATTGCCTAAAAAGCCAAAAGTCAAAAACACAAGCATTTCAATGAACAGTAATTCTTAATTTAGGGTTCTTTCAATCAATTCCTCTCTTCTGCTTATTTTTTTAATTTATGTAAGTAATTAAGAAATATGTATCCTATTTAGTTTTTTAGAATTAAATTAGAAACGTGTTTCATATTTAATTTTTTTAAAGTTTAATTAATTAATTAATATTATTATTTAGATTTATTAAGATAAATTTTTGTGGGAGTTATTTAATATTAGTTATAAAAATTTTAATATTATAGATTAATGAAAACAAAAATATAATTGAGATCAAATAAAAAATTGTCCAACTTTCAATTAACAAATTGATTATTTATTAATATAAATTTTTGCAGGAGTTATTTAATATTAATCATAAAGACTTGAATATTATGGATTAATGAAAACTAAGATATAATTGAGATCAAATCAACAAATTGCCTAACTTATAATTATCAAATTGAGTCAGCGCGACATAAAGTACAACCTTACTACCTATAAAAATAAATAAAAGTACAGTAAAATATACTAAAAAATAAAAATAAAACAAATAAAAACAATAAGAATAACAATGTTGAAACTCTTATCTAGCATAATGTTAGTTTTATTACTATAATCTCTTGAATATGTTTCATATTTAATTTTTTAAATTTTAATTAATTAATTATTATTATTATTATTTAGATTTATTAATATAATTTTTTTAGGAGTTATTTAATATTAGTGGTGGAGGTGGTTGGTATCATTTTAATTTTAATTAATTGTTTAATATTATTATTATTTATCATATATTATAAATTTGTAGAAGTTAAAATCCCAAATTTAACTTTAAAATATTTGGAGTGAAAAATTGATGGAAGAAATTATAGAATTATAATTTAGTATGATATTTGTATCAATAATACCTTCTTTTTTTTTATAAAAGTATTTATATATTTATATTAACGATACACCTTTTTTAATTTATACAATTTTTTTATCAATATTAAACTTTTTCCGTTAACAAAAATATTTGTATCAATAATATTTTTATTTAATTTATAAAAATATTTGTATCAATAATACATTTTTTCCATTTACAAAAATATTTGTATCAATAATACATTTTTTCTCGTTTATAAATATATGTGTATCAACAATACAATTTTTTACGTTTATAAAAATATTTATATCAACGATATATATTTTTCCATTTATAAAAATATTTAAATTAACAATAGAATTTTTTTTCGTTTATAAAAATATTTATATCAATAATACGCTTGTTCCCGTGTTAATAATATTTGTTCAATAATATACGTTTTTCATTTATAAAAATATTTGTATCAACAATACATGTTTCTCATTTATAAAAATATTTGTATCAACAATACATGTTTCTCATTTATAAAAATATTTGTAACAATAATAAAAAAAATTTGTTTATAAAAAATATTTATATCAACAATATATTTTTTATATTTATAAAAAGATTTGTAACAAAAAAATTAAAATTATATTTTTCATTCTTTGAAACAAAAACAAAAAGCACTTTAAAAAGAAATAAATTTTTATAAACGGGGGAAAATGTATTTTATGACAAAAATAATTATTGCAATAATATTAATATTTTAAATATATACTTTTGTTTTAATATTTCTCAATTTATAAAAGTACTAAACCATAAACAAAATTAAATTAACTTTAATATTTAGAAATTAAAACTTCATATTATAATAAATTAGAAATAAATGAGTGATTAGTATTTATTGCATATTTAAATACATTGCCACCGTCACTGCCACCGGAATCTATTACTAGCTTGAAGACTCCTGAGATTGAATCAAAAACTCCACCGGATACTAGCTCAAAGACGATTGAAATTGGATCAAGAACTGATAAAGAGATGACAACCACCCTCGATAATGGAAACAAAGAAACCCTAATAGAAACGATACAAGCACAACCGGAGGAACGTAAACCATGGATGGATATTATTAATGACAATCGGAACCCTGCAAAGGGACTCACAATGGAATACGTTGCGTCAAAAGTAGTTAGTGGAGCGATTGAAATCGACATTGAACAAGAAGATATCGAAACGGAAATACGATTTTGGGATAATGCTCTAATACTGTATGTTGTAGGGGATGATTTGAGTATGAACACTATGAAAAACTTTATGCAGAGAATGTGGAATTTCGTGAAAATGCCAGATCTTTACTACCACGATGACAGCTATTTTCTGCTCAGATTTAACTCCCAGAAAGATAAAGAAGCAGTAATGATGAAAGACCCATACACGATACGAAATATGCTTATGATATTGAAGGAATGGCAAACTGGTTTCAATCTAAAGAAGGATCTACTAAGAACATTACCAATATGGGTGAAACTCCCCCAACTTCCCCTACATCTATGGGGGGCAAAGAGTCTTAGCAAAATTGGAAGTGCCATTGGCAAACCGTTGGTGACTGATGAGTGCACGACAAACAAGCTCTGTGTATCATATGCAAGACTACTGATTGAAGTGGACATTACACAACAATTGATTGATGAAATAGTCATCAGAATTGTTAAAGGAGATGTAAAATGCAGCCTGTGAAGTATGAATGGAGGCCAACATTCTGCGAAACCTGTCAAAAAATTGGGCATAAATGTGTCGTACCTCAAAAAATACGATCCTCGCGATGGACGCGGAAAAATACTGTTCGAAACAGAGTCGCCACCGAACTTTATTCATTCCAAGGAGGGAATAGGAAAATATCGATAAAACCTTTAAAGGGATAAGAACATGGTCATCGCAACCAATATTCTAGGTTCGGGAGTAGGT